CAGAGATTAGCAAGGGGTTAACAAGAAAGAGGAAGGACAAACATAAACCCTCACAGGAACATAGAATTTAGAGGTAGAAGGGGCTTTAGCAATCACCTAGTCCAATATTTTTATTTTACAGATCTGAAAACTGGGCCCTAAAGAGGTTAAATGATAAAAGTCAAACAGGTAATAAGGAGTTAGGAGGGATAGGTAGTGCAATGGATAGAGCACCGGCCATGGATTCAGGAGGACCTGAGTTCAAATCCAGCCTCAGACACTGGACACTTACTAGCTGTGTGACCCTGGGCAAGTCACTTAATCCCATTGCCTAGCCGCCGCCCCTCCCCCCAAAAACCCTAACTTATATAAACGTTAGCTCTTATTATCACTACTGCTCTTATCACAATATCTCCCCCTTCAGCCTAAGACCAGGCTAAAGATTAAGATCTACAACCAACATCCTACAATCTATTAAATCTGCCAGGCCAACACCCAATCACTGATAATGTATGTTGTGATCCACATGAAGACTAGAACCTAATAAAAGACAGGAGCTAGCTGCCCAAATGCAAACTGGATTCCCAGTCTTTTTGTCAACAATTGGGCCTAGGAATCAAAAACAGTATGTCTGTCAAGGAGGAAGAGTATTCCTAGTTTTTGGAAACCTTCTGAAAATGTTATCTTTCACACAGGTATTCTGATGATCTGTATTTTGTTCTTGGTTAATCTTCGAGCGATAAAATGAGTGAGTGTGAGGAAAACACATTATTCGTTTGAAAACATTATCCAATGAAGTACAAGCTAAAATATTGGTATTGACAAGTCCTCATCCATACACACAGGGAGGAGGTCACAAAGGCTCCTATTCTGAAGAGGAAAGTCTATGCACAGGAACTCTGTTATTTGATGTGTTAATTGAAGATGCTGCACAGAATTTTAAAATTCATATAACTAATTTTTTTTTAATGAAATGCTTCAGGTTTTTTTGGAAAACAAAAAAACCCTCTCACCCAAACCAGGGATCCATCTGCAGCCAGAGGTTGTCCAGACAACTGTCCTTACACTACGGTCCTGGAGGAAACAATCTCATAACTCTTCTCACTTGGGTCACACCTAATCTGTCCTCACCATGGAGTCATTCCAACCACCTGAAAGGAGCAAAAAGCAACTCCACCCTCCTCCCCCCACCAATGACTTCCCAATAAAGAAAAGACCATACCAAATGTGAAAATACCAAACTATTTTATTAAAAGTTTGAAAATCCTTCAAGAAGTTTACAAAAACACCTTTAACATGGACACAGCAAAACTGCCATCAGGCAGAGAGTGGGAGCCAATTTGCATGGAGGCAAGGTTATCCTGCCCATCTGCAAAGAGACATCCCTACATCCCTCAAGGCAGGGCACATTTTTCTACTCCTCTGCTTACTTGAAAAAAAGGGTCATTTCTGCACAAATGGACCTTACCTAAGAGGTACTCTTACAATTAACATTCCATATCACACACAAATTAGGCACCAGCCTTGCACCCATCTCAAGTAATTCAACTTGGGGTTAACAGAGTTAAGTTGGGAAAGAAATACTTACTTTTTGGGCCTTTTCGACTTTTGATCCTTCATACTGACAATTCCTGGAGAGGTGGAGAAATCAGCACTGCAGAGGGTAATTCTAGCCCCCGCTTCTCCCTAGGAATGCTGACTCAGGGTTTCTCAGATCAGGCACTCTCCTGCCCTTGGAATTGCATCCCCCAACACAGGGGTGGTACTCGAGGTCACCTCAGCTGCCAAATCCAGAGTGTCTTGATTCCCACCTTCTTAGAATTACCTATATATTCTTTTATAATGTTTTGGGATGCTTGGCACATTTTTACAGTTAGAATATTCAGACACTTTCTCTTGCTCATTTACAAAAAAAAAAAGTTTTTTTTTTTAAAAAACAGAACATTCAAGCTTCATTAAAAAAATTTATTTTCCATATAAAAGTGCCAAAATATTCACCAACGCTGCCATCTATCTCAACAACCAGCTTACTCTAGAAATCAAAACACAAGCATCTTTATTCACATTGTTTAAAACCAAATTCCATTCACACATTTCCACAGTAACCTGAGTCCCTAGAAAGTGGGAAGTTTGTGTTCCTATTTGCTGTGGTAGTCCATATGTCCAGATTCATATAGGCACGGAAAGGGTTAAACCTTGGGTAATATTCCTGTTTGCACATCACTGCTGGATTTTCCATGTGAGTGGAATGCTGGGTGGTGGGATTGATGGAGCAGCAGCTTTCGTACATGTCATTTTGGGGAGCCCAGATGGAGCCAAAAAGTCCAGACATTGGAGATAAGCTTCTGGTGCTTGAGAGGTAGGGCTGGAATTGAAGACAAAAACCATTATTGAACGGCCAGTAGACTTAAAAACAATCATAGCATCTATTAAAGTCACACGGACAGGATGAAACACATTTCTAGACAAACTGATACAACATTAAAGTCCTTCAAAATTGAGAAAGGATGCCATCCTCCAGGGAATCTTGCTTGCCTGGCTCTCCTGGTATACCTTTACTCTTCTCAGGGAAGTAGCAAAATAGGTTACTGGTCCAGAGGGATTCACTTTTCTCTTCTTTCTTTCTTTCTTTTTCAAATATGGAAGGCTTTAAAGAGCCTTCTGAATGGGCGAGAGAGCCAAGAATAAAGAGCTTTGAAACCAGTGGTTTAACTTGATCAGTTGACAATCTGGGCGACTGAAAGGTCTCTATGAATGTCAACAAATATCGTTAAAATGAGGTCCAGTGGTCCTACTTTTTATTTTAGCCAGCCCCTCCCATTCCTTCCAGTTGTTGCAGTAGGGATATAGCAGGCAATAAGCATTTATTAAGCACTTACTGTGTGCTAAAAAGTGGTAATACAAATACAAGAAAAAAGACATTTCTTGTCCTCTAGGCATTTTCTCTCATTATATCTTAATGGGAAAAAACAATATTTACATAAAAGGCACCTGAAAGGTTGGGATGGGGGGGAAAAGGTAACTGAGAAGGTATCCCAGGAGGGGAATGACTAACTTAGATTATCTCACAGCATATCCAGCAATAACCTTGGGGATTGCTCAAGTCTCTGCTCTGGGCCACTGTCCCTCTATATTTCTCTTTTGATGATCTCATCAGCTCCCATGGGTTAAATGATAAAACTTTACTCTCAGATCTATATATTAGTTTATCTCTTGAGTTCTAATACCCCTTGACACCATCCATCTCTTGAAAATTTCAAAATGGATTTCTCATCTCAAACTTAACACATCCAAAACAAAACTCATCTTTCTTTTTCTGAACTTCCCTATTATTGCTAAGAGCATCACCATCTTTCCCAATCACCCAGATTTGCAATCTCATTGTTATCCCCAACTCTTCTCTCTCTCATCCTTCACATATAATCTGTTGCGAAAACCTGTTTCTACTTTTACAATCTCTCATGTATGTCCCTTTCTCTCATCTACACCTTACTTCAGATCCTCATCACCTCCTCCCACCTGGACTACCACAACAACCTTCTAAACTGTCTCCTCACCCCAAGTTTCTCTCTACTCCAATCCATTCTCCACTCAGCTCCAAAGATGATTTTTCTAAAACAAGGGTCTGATTATGTCCTTCCACTCTGTTCAATGAGCTCCTGGGGCTCCCTATGACCTCAGGTATCAAATATAACTTTGGCATTTAAAGCTCTTTATAATCTGTCTCCTTCCTACACTTTTAGTGTTGTGATACCTGACTTCCCTCCATACAATCCAGCTACACTGGATTATTTGCTGTTCTTCAAACACAGTACTCCATATCTCCTCTCTCTGTACCTTTGCTCTGGTTGTCCAACATGCTTGGAATGCCATGCCACCCTCACCTTTTGACTTTCCTTGGCTTTCTTCAAAATTCAGCTCAAATCCTACTTCCTGCTAGAGACTGTTTTCTCCTGGTGTCCCCAGTTCCTACTGTCTTTCCTCTGAGATGACCTTGGGTAGTCTTCCATCTACTGTGTATATATCTTGCATGTACCTAGCTATTAAATGTCTCCCCCAACAGTATGTGTTTACCTGATGTGTCTTTTTTTTGGTGTCCCCAGCACTTAAAACAATGCCTGGCATGCAGTGAGTACTTAAATACTTATTAAATCTAAGATTCAAATGTATAAGAATAAGGGCACTGCCTAATTGATAAGTGGTAATTTCCAAGCTAATGACAGCCATTTAAAAAAATTCTCCTAATCACTTATAATTAGATAAATGAAAATTAAAGCAACTCCAGGGTTGCTCACACCTATTAGGTTGCTCCCTCCCCCCCGCCAAAAAAAAGAAAAGAAAAATGACAAATGCTGGAAGGGCTGCGGAATAGCAGGTACATTAATGTGCTGTTGGTATAACTTTGAATTGGTTCAGACATTCTGGAAAACAATTGGAAAATATGCCCCCAAAGTTACTAAATTGGGCACACTGTTTTGACCCAGCAATACTATTGCTAGGATTATATCTCAAAGAGGTTTAAAAAGAAGAAGAAAACAACCCATATGTACAAAAATAATTATAGCTGCTTTTTTATAGTAGCAAAACTGAAAACTAAGGTGGTGCCCACAATGGGGCACCTAAATGCTCTGGTCGACTGTACAAAATGGACTTTAGGGATTATCTAGTAGCATAATCTACTCATTCTGCACATGAGGAGAATGAGAACTACTGCAAAGTGACTTGCTCAATGTCACACAAAGTAGCAATGAGCAGAAGTGAAATTCAAACCTAGGTCCTCTCACTCAAAATCTAGTACCCAAACTCACTCCATGACACGATAGTGCCTCTCCTATCCTGACTCCTCATCCTGGAGTAGAGAGGACTTGGGGTTCTTGAGAGATCTAACAGGGATGCATCTGATATAGCAGGTGCTATTAAATGGAAAGGCTTCAAGGAGGAGATCAGTGATGTTGATCTAGTTACTCTAAGTATAGAAGCCTCAACAACAGGCTGGCCCTGGGGGGATAAGGTGTGTTTTGGTCATAGCAACTCTTGAGGAATCATGGGGAATAGTTCTAAGTCACTGGAGCACTTAACCAACATAACTACTAATGGACAAAGGATGGACAGTACACAAGTTAGGAATGGAGACATAATGGATATGAGAATGGCATATGGGATTATATGGAAAAAAAATAATTATACCCTTTGGCCTAGCAACACCACTAGTAGATCTGTATCTCAAAGAGACCAAAGAAAAAGGAAAAGGACCTAATTGTACAAAAATATTTATAGTAGCTCTTTTTGTGGAAGCAAAGAATTGGAAATGAGGAGAGGGATGCCCAACACTTGGGGAACGGCCGAACAAGTTGTGGTTTGCGATTATGATAGAATACTACTGTGTTATAAGAAATGATGAGTGGAATGGTTTCAGAAAAACCTCAACTGACACAAAGGGAAGTGAGCAGAACCAGAAGAACATTGTACACAGTAACAGTAGTTCTGTATGGATGATCAACCGTGAAGGACTTAGCTACTCTATCAAGACAATGATACAAGACAATTCCAAAGGATCTGTGATGAAAAATGCCATCCACCTCCAAAGAGAAAACTGATGAACTCTGAATGCGGACTGAAGCATGCCTTTTTTACTTTTTTTTTTTTGTCAGTGTTTTCTTCTGCAACATAGCTAATATAGAAATGTTTTGCATGACTTCATGTGTCTGTATCAAATTGCTTGCTTTCCCAAGGAGGAGGGAAGAGTGAGAGGAAGGAAAAGAATTTGGAACTCAAACATTTTTAAAATTATTATTAAAAAAATTTTACATGTAATTGGGAAATATTTAACAAAATAAAAATATATTTAAAAAAGTAAAAAATAATTAGAACTCACTGTAAACTCAGGATCACTGACAGAAGGGCTGACATAGCTGGCAGGTTCCCAGGCAGGAGGCACACTGGGTGGGGTACTCCAAGATGACTGGGAGCTATGACTGATGAAAGCTGTGTTTGGAACTTCTGTAGGACAGGGGAAGCCATTGTGATAATTCATGTTTTCTACGATGAAAGGAAGAAAAGGGAGCAGCTTTTCAAACGCGGAAATCAATTCAGAGCAATTTAATTAGATAAGCATTTACTAAACACCAATTACATGCCAGGCATTAAAGATACGAGGTAAAAACAGAAGCACTTCCTGTCTGCCCTCAAGGAGTTTCCATTCTATTGGATGAAACCCTACTTAATGCAAGTCATTATATTACTGTTCTCTGGAAAGAAGCAGACTGCCATGATTACTCTATAACCAGTTACTTAGAAGCAAGCATAGAAAATACCTCATGGAGAATAGAGGTAATCATAAAATTTTCATTCTAAATAAGCATTCAGTTTTTTTTTTGTTTTTTTTAACCAGGCAGAGCAAATAAGCAGAGTACTATGAGCATGCTACCACTCATGGGCTTTGGAATAACACTGTTGGCCACCTAGGAGGAGAAAGATGTTGATGCACTAATGTTAACCCTCTTGGGGCCCTTTGAGAGTAAGAATAATTTGTATGTTCAGGGTAGAAATGTTCTGGCAGCTATGTGGCTCAGTGAATAGAGTGCTGGGCCTGGAGTTAGAAAGACCTGAGTTCAAATCTGGCCTTGGACATAGGTCACTTAACCTGTGTTTGCCTTAATCCACTGGCGGAGGAAATAGCAAACCACTTCACTATTTTTGCCAAGAAAATCCCACGGACAACAGCATGGTCCATGGGTTCATGAAGAACTGGACACAACTGAAGAATGAATGACAACAACAAATTATCATTCACAATTTACAGATGAGAAAACTGAGATTCAGAGAGATTAAATGGTTTTCCCCAAGATTATATAGCTAATAAGGGACAAAAATGGAATTTGAAGCCAAGTTTTCTGGGTCCAAATATACTGTTCTTTACTTCTATATCATCACTGTTCTAAATAGCAGATACTCGTTCTTTGTAATTCATGTTGGGAAGGAGAAGGGTGTGTAGGCTATACGGGGAACTCAAGGGTAATCTAAGCACCTAAGTGTGGTTTGTTTGTCTTTGGGGGTAGGTGGGTGGGGTGATTTTGTCTCGATTTTTGAAGACCACATAGACTCATGATAGTATTACATAATTTGGTTAATCTCCATGGTACATTAGTGAATATCTCAGTGCCACTTTTCATGTTTATTAACTGTTATGAGGTACAGTCACCTGAATATAAATGCTTCTGTACTAAGAGTTCTTACTATGAGGTCCATGGACCCCCTTAGGGATTTGTAGACAGACTTCAGAAGATCCATCAGTTTGGGTGGGAAAAAATGACATCTGTATTTTCACTAACTTTTGGCTTCCATTGTAATCCCATGTATTTAATTTTATGTAATTAATAAAAAAAATTATTCTAAGAAAGAGTTCAGGCTTCACTAAACTACCAAAATGATCCATGACACAAAAAAAGACTAAGAGTCCCTGATCTAGACCCTAAATATCTCCTGGTCAACTTCCCTATATTAGTTCCACAGTTTTTACCTTCTGGAAAGCCGTTGTAATCGTTCACTTCTAGCGGGCAATACACATTGGGAAACTGGCCTTCACAAGCTGTATTCCAGTCAATGAAACTGTGACAAAAGAGAAGGTACCTAGTTTCAGAAACACGACAGCCAGATATCAAGTAAAGGAAGATGAAACCATTTTTAAAGGGAACATTAAGCATGAACAAATGTTAAAACACTATCTTTCCAAAGTCTTGAGTCTTTACACAACTCCACTCCACAACGCAGCATGAACAGTCCTTACACATGGATTCCACTGTGTTTTCTCCACTACTTCTTATTTTTAAAAAGCCAGATTTAGTTCCTTAAGTCACAGGATTAGAAGCATAGTTAGTTGAATGGGACTGGGCAAATCCAAGGGCATCTCAGCAATGTATCATGATAATATCATGAGATGGTATGGCCACGATGAGAAAGATGACCATCATTGACTGGGCACAATAAGTTGTTTTTGCCATGGAGGTAATGGATTTTCAAACTAATTCCACCTCTCTTGGTGAATCCTATGACCAGTAACATACATCTACACAATGTATGCCTTAAGGTTAGGCGTGCAGTCTGTAGTCGCCAACATAATTCCATATGGGAACTCAATCCAGGACCTTGGCTTCATAAACAAATCTAGTACTATCTGGGTTTCCAGAATTCCTTCAAAGAAATCAGGCTGGCACTCCTCCTAGGGAAATCATGACAATCAAAGAACCTTCTAAATAAGTAAACTTCGATAAATGTTGCAAACCATGATGAGCAAAAACACTTGTATGCAATCATAAAATGCTAGAAACAAGAAGCGGATCTAGAAATTTAACAAAATGCACAAGGCAACTCCCTGGTTTTCCTATAGAAAACCAATTCTTTCCATACTGATATTATTATAATCAAGTAGTCATTCCAGTACTTAAGTCTTGCTTGACAATGAATTATTCAATACTTAAGTCATCTGTTGTTTTTCTTCTAAGACTTTTGGAAACTGATGCCAGTTACCATGCAATTTAGCTCATACTGTCTTAGTCATTTTCCTTCCTGGTTTTTTCTCTTCTCTTTTTTCTCTTTCTCTTAAAGTCTTTCTCTTTATTATCTGCAAACATCACTCTTAAAAAATCATACAGAAGAAAGATGTCTAAATCATATACGATTCACGAATAAATAGTACTTTTTTGGTCAGAGATGCAAATAAATAAATAAAAGATCTAGCATGCATACAGGTGTGTATGTGTGTGTCAATGTGTGTGAATGAGTACTCATAATGAACACTTATAAAAATGAACATTACCAAAATTATGTAAAGGAAAAAAATTTTACCTGTTCTGAACAGGAGGGGATTCCTGGATCATGCAAGGCATACTGTTCTCAAGGTTGTAGTTTAAGCTGTTTGTTAGACATACTGGCTGGCCTGGCCACAAATCACTGGGGGGATAAAGACCTAAAGGGGAATAGAATGACCTATGAGAATACCAGTATTCTCTCCCTCTCTGTTTATTTACATCTACCTCATCCTTCAAGGAGGCTCTGCTCAAATTTATCTTCCTCCACTCAGTTTTTTCCAACTGTCCCAATACACACTGGTTTCTCTAAATCCTTCTGCACTCCCTGCCCTATGGCACATTACTGGAGGCATATTTCACCACGATGGTCCTCCTCTGGTGACTCCTTGTACAGAGGTAACTCTGGGCTCGAAGATGACACTGTCCATTTAGGATAAGCTCTGGTAGGTCCTACACCCATACAGGCTTGAAGTGAGCCTCAGACTGTAGGAAAGCTACCTGTGGACCAGCCTGGCTAAGTCTGGAGAAGTCACTAACCAAACTGGCTGTATCCGCAGTCACACTTGAAGACTACCCACTAAATTACAAAGAAGTAGGGGCAGCAAAGTGGCACAGTGGATAGAGCACCAGCCCTGGATTCAGAAGGACCTGAGTTCAAATCCGGCCTCAGACACATAACACTGAATAGCTATGTGACCTTGGGCCAGTCACTTAACCCCATTACCTAGCCCCCCCAAAAAAAAAATTACAGAGAAGTTGTCACTGATGTCAGAGGATGGAGTGTGCACACAGACAAAATGATAGATCCCTAAAGCACTGAAATTTAAGTAAAGATGAGGGAACAGCAATGAGGTTGAGTGATCTGCCCAAGGTGATGCATTCAGTGGGGCTGGGCAGAGGCAGCAGCAGGGTCTTGGAAAAAACCTATGTATTCGACTCCAGTAAATGAATTGAAAGAAGAAAAGCAGGAAAAGGGACGGGGAAGAAGGAAAGGAATTTTTAAAGGATTAAAGAAGGAAAGGAAGTAAGGAGAAAAAAAATAGAGGAGGCTCCTTATAATCCTACCCTTGCTCTATTCTCTGCAGATCACCTGATGAGCAAAACTACTATTCTCCTGCCTGCCTAGACAGGGCATTAAACAAGGAGGCTGAAGGATCATGAACTTGATCCTTCATTATCTAGGCTTACTGGTAATTTTAGCACAGCCACCTTGGGGCTAGATAATGTTCCTGCTGTGCTTCTGAGGGAGATGTGTCTCGCTATCAATTAATAAATTAATTAATTAGTCTAGCTGCCACCTCCTCCTCTGATGCTGACAAGACGTAGAAGGATGATGGTCCAGAAAACAGGGAAGTGGGCAAAGGCAGAAAGTGTGCCTCTGGCATCATCCTTAACCCTGTCACTGTCCACCTCATTCCCTTTCCAACCACCCTTTCCTTTTCATCTTAGATGTGGAGAGGCCAATGTGATCAAGCAATGGAAGGTGAACCCTAAAAGAGCAGTGTGGGTACTGCTAAATGTCACCAGTGATCAAGTGCCAATGGTTTAGTTGTACATAGAGCCAGGCTACAAGGAAGGGAGCTTAGCGAGACCGGTCCTGTAGGAAACACAAGTCTGACAGCAAGGGCAGGTACAAGCAGAAACAGGAAGGGTACTAGGTTTTCCAGCCCTAGATGCTGCCATAAAAGTATCCTGGGGTCCTTTCCATGTTCTTCAATCTGAACTCAGGTGTCAGCAACACTGTGGGCATGCCCCAAGCATGTACTAAGTCATCTACCTCCATCTCAGTCTACACCTGCCACCCACGTCACTCTCTTACCTACCCTGGTCACAATGAAGCTGTTGTCTGTTGCAAAACCTGAAGAGTGATGATCATGCGACTCACCTTTGTTTTTATCAGGATCTGAAGTCACGTCTGGGAAGCTGGGACAAAGGGTTTCTGTATACTGAGGGATGGTATTCATGTCTCTGCTGAGAAAGTGGGGAAAAAAAAGGGGGAATGACTGAATAACCTGTGCAATATGAATATAATGGAATACTACTGTGCAGTAACAAATGATGAAGATGAGGAATGTGGAGAAACACAGGAAGATATTTATGAGTTGTCACATCCTGAGATAAGCAGAACCAAAAGAACAAAGCAAACAATAAGAGCATGCATTCATTTAGCTTAGAAAGTCACTTTATAGGTAAGATCTTCATGCAATCCTCACAACAGCCCTGGGAGGTGGGTGATGTTATCACCCCCCGCCCCTACAGATGAGGAAGACTGTAGGGTAAAAAGAGCCTAAGTGACCTGCTGAGGCTCACAGGGCTAGGAAGGGGCTGAGGATGGATCACTAAGCCAGAAAACTGCCAAAACACTCACTCCAGGGCCTCTCACCTCAGAATAAAGAAAAACCAATAATAGTCCCAGAGTAGATGGGGACTAGATATCCATTACAGACATCAATCAATTCCAGTGGCCCCCAACTGCCTCCAGCGCCAGACCCAAAATCTTCTGTTTGGCAATGAAAGCCCTTTATAACTTAGCCCCCTCCTACCTTTCCAGTCTTCTTACACCTTACTCCCCATCACATACTCTTTGATCTAGAGACACTGGCCCCTTGGCTGTTCCATGTCGAAACACTCCATCCTTCCCCTCCAGGCATTTTCTCTGGCTGTCCCCCATGTCTGGAATGCTCTCCCTCTTTACTGCCACCTAATGGCTTCTCTGGCTTCCTTAAGTCCCAACCAAAACCCTACCTTCTACAATCCTTCGTAATTCTAGCAACTTCCCTTTATTCATTATTTATTTATCCTGAACACAGCTTGTCTGTACATATCTGTCTGCTTGTAGTCTCTTCCATGACACTGTAAGTTCCTTGAGGGCAGGAATTTTTTTTTCCTCTTTTTCCTATCCCTGGCACTAAATAAATGTTCATTGACTGACTATCAGGTGCAGTCAATCTATTTGATATTTCTATGTAATTGCCTGGAAGGAGATCTAAGAATAACTTACAAAAAATCAATCAAAAACACTTAATTTGAAAGGGCAAATGTTAGAAATACTAAAATGATTTTCATTCTGGAATAGAAAGTTTTAGCTTTTGCATGATTTCATCTTCAAGAGCTAAAAAGGTTTCAGAGAGAAGTCTCTGGTACAGGGTTTACAGTGAAAGTGGTTGAGGAGATCCCTCTACACATTCACATATGCCCCTAACAAAACCCCTTGGTTAAAGAAGGTCACATTAAGAAAAATGAAGTAACTGTAGTTTACCTATTAGTTTCAAATCCTCTAAGTTGTTAGCTATGACTCTGCCCTTTAGTTATTATTTTCCCATTAAAAGATGCTTCAGCTATAGGGTCCATTGGGTATTAGCCAAATTTCCTGTTTAATAAGTTCAGCAATGTCAAAGTATCCTCTGCCCTTCTCCACAGGGTAGCAGGCAGCTAAGATCCCTGCTCACATCTCCCTTCTGTCACGACAGGGACTGGTTTGTTTTGTTTTGGGAAGTCAGAATTCAATCAATGGGGAAAATATAAATACGTGAGGCTCTTCTGGTCAGCTAGGTGGCTCAACGGATAGAGTGCCAGGCCTGAAGTCAGGAAGACTCATCTTCCTGAGTTCAAATCTGGCCTCAGACACTAGCTGTGTGACCCTGGGAAAGTCAGTTAATCATGTTTGCCTCAGTTTCCTCATCTGTAAAATGAACTGGAGAAGGAAGTGGCAAACCACTCCAGTGTCTTTGCCAAGAAAACCTCACATGGGGTCACAAAGAATCAGACACAACTGGAAAAAAAGTAATACAACAAACAAGAGCTCTTTTAGGTTCCTAGAGGGAACAGTTCGGTGGCACAGAAAGACCTGAGTTCAAATCCAGCGTCCGATACTGATTAGTTGTGTGACCTTGGGCAAGTCACTTAACTTTTATTTGCCTCAATTTCTTCAACCTAATAGCCCTTTTCTCCCGGGGTTGTTATGAGAATCAAATAATATAATTATTGTAAAGCATTTAGCACAACTTCCAGCACATGATGAGCACTATATAAATGTAAGCTATTGTTAGCGATATCATATAATAACATTTTCTTAGTCTCAATAGTTAAGTCTTCAATTTTCATTCAAATTCCAGCAATGGTGCAGCACTAGCTCATCCTCCTGTCAGCTGGGTCCCTGTTCCTTATAGATTCACAAATTTTCACAGATATTTTCCAATGGGGCTGTCTCACTGGAAAACAAGGAACCAATATACTGAACTATAAAGCCAGAGCAGCTGTCAAACTTGCAGCCAAATGGGCCACCAGATCAAAACATAACTGAAAAGTATTTAATAAAATATAAAATAATACAACATAGATAATGTTAATTTGAGGTTTTCCAAGTCAATACGCGTGGCAAGGATGTTTCTATTTTTGCCCTTTCATTTCATGCTCTTTCACTAGAGTTGGGTAGCAAGAATTCTGGATTTAGAATAAGAAATTATGCCTCAGACAATGACCAGATGTGTGATGCTGCGCAAGTCACTTATTTTAAAAAAAAAAAATCTCTGCCTCAATTTCCTCATCCATAAAATGAGGATAATACCACTTACAACCTAGAGTTGTTGTGAGGATACTATATCTGAAGTGCTTCAACAAACCTGAAGGTGATATAAATGCTAGCCATTATTACTACATTTCAATCTCAACAAGGCCCAGACTTTGTATCTTGCCCCCTTTTTGTATCTTTGTCAGTCAAGCTTCTTTATTTCTAGTTAGAACACAACCATCCTTCCAGTCATGCAAGCTTGTAACCTGGCCCTTGCCCCCCACCTCTCTCAAATCCAATCTAACCAATCAGGAGCCAAGCCTTCTTGATTCTGCATCTCTCATTTTCTTGCATCTACGTCTCTCAATTCTCTCTACTCACACTGATTACATCCTAACGAAGGTCTTTACTGCATCTTGCCTGGATTATGCCAATATCCTCCTAATCTGTCTCCTTCATCCTAGTCTTTTCTCTTTCCAATCCATTCTTCACACATTTTTCAAAATCATCTCCGTAAGATGGAGGTCTCAATAACACCAACTATGTCATTCCCCGGCTCATAAGCCTTCAGAGACTTCCCATTTCCTTTATGGAATAACATGTTAACTCCTTAGCCTGGAATCTAAGGACCTCCAAAATCTGGTTTTAAACCACCTTTCCACACTTAGTTCATAGTATTTCCACTGGTGGATTCGACATTCTAGCCAAATAGGACTATTAGACAGTTTCTGAAATCTGCATCCCATCACCTGCCTCCATGCATTTGCACAAACAACCCATTCCCCTAAAACCTTCTATGATGAGTCTTCCCCAACTCCAGGGTTTTCTGCTCTATTCTTCCCCATTTTACCTTGAACTATGCTTATCTTTATTTGTGTTCTATCTCCCTCCCACCACCACCCAGTAAAAGTGTAAGCTTCCTGAAGGTAGGGATGGTTTATTTTGGTCTTCTATTCTCAGTCCCAGCAGAGTACTGGTACACAGGAGGTGCTTAACAAATATTTATGGAATTGATAAACTATTAAGAGGGGGAAAATCACTAGGCTGAGAACCAGGAGACCCATAATGGAATCTACTTGGCAGGATAATTACCTATCAATCAGTCAACAAGCACTAACAGCCTATTCTGTGCCAGGCACTGTGCTACGCTTTGATGAGAGAAATATAAAGAATAAGGGCAGCTAGGTGGCACAGTAGATAGGGCACTGGCCCTGAAGTAAGGAGGACCTGAGTTCAAATCCAGTCTTAGACACTTGACACTAGCTGTTTGACCATGGGCAAGTCCCTTAACCCCGAGCAAGTCACTTAACCCCGACTGCCTCACCCCCCCCCAAAAAAAAGAAATATAAAGAAAGAAACTCTCTAGTCTCAAGGGGCTTACATTCTATTGGGGGAAAAGAACTGTACACATGTAAAAAGAGAGAGAGATTATATGTGTGTGTGTGTCTGTGTGCGTCTGTGTGCATATATATATGCATAGAGAGAAAGAGAGAGAGAGAGAGAGTGTGTGTGTGTGTGTGTGTGTGTGTGTGTGTGTGTAAAATAATACAAAGTGGCTAAATATAGGGTAGTGTGGGAGGGAGGGAACCAGGGAGGGGATCATAAAAAGATTCATGTAGAAGGTGATGTTTTAGCTGTGTTTTAAAGACAGAGATTCTGTGAGGTGGAGGTGAGGGAACACTATACACCAGGCCTGAGAGATGGTATGCAGTGTGAGAAACAGAGGAAAGTCCCGTCTGGATGGACTGCAGAGTCCAGGAAAAAAAAAATAATATACAATGATGCTAAAAGATAGGGCCAAGTCATGAACAGCAATTATTAATATGGATGACTCATTCGCAATTCTTAAAACCAAAAAAGTCTCCTATTTTCCATGGCAAGAAATAACTCTGAAGAATCAAGCTGTTGAAAAACTATAAATAGCAGAGTATATATTATAAAAAAATTAAAAAGTAACTTACCTGGGGTTGCAGATGTTGTGGGACAGATTCAAAGTAATAGGGGTTTCAGTTGGAAAATCAGTTTGTGAAATGTTCTCACCTGAGAACAAAGAAAGAAGAATATGATTCGTATGCACAAAAGTATTTACGTATCTCTGTAGAAGCCCCCAACTTTCTGTACTAGGGAGGTGCCCCACTATGCAGTGTGGCTAAACAAATGACGCCATTTGAACATGATGGAATGTTGGCAAAACGGGCAGTTTCTGAGGACACCAGGAAGAGAATTCTATGCCCTGACACAGAATGAAGTAAGCAGAAACAGAAGAACAATTTACACAATTACAATATTATAAAGAAAGAAAGCTCTGCAAGACTTTATGGCTAATTAATGTTATGATAAACCACCAAGTCCAAACCACAAGACTGAAGATGAATCAGCTGCTAACCTCCTGCCAGAGACGCAATGGACTTAACATCCAGAATAAGACACATTTATATGGAAGTGATGAATGTGGGGATTTGTTGTGGAGGTGGTTGGTTTTTTTAAGAGTTCTTTAAAAAAAATATTTTCACCTGAATAAGGTAACTAATGAAAGATTTTTTTTTAATTTCAATTGCATATAATAGGTATTAAGCACATATTTTTTTAACCTCACCCCAAATATTTCTTCCTACTTTAAACTGACATTGATATTCAAATGACTGAATCTAGGTCAGGTCTGTCTGTTGCTATTTTTCCAATGGCTATATACTCGTGGAAAGGCAGTTGTGGTTCTAAGTGCCTCTAACACTTAGTAGTCTAGCCTGGACAAGGCACAGCCTCTCTGAGACTCAGAACTGCCCCCTGCAAAACTGAGACAATGATACTTACACTACCTGCGCCTCATTCTTACAGGGGTATTGTAAGAAAGCGCTCTGTAAGTATTAAAAGGTTATTCACACGTAAGAAATTATTACCGAAAATAAGGGAGAACTATTGATTTGAGCATTCTAATTTTATACTCAGCCACATTACAGAGACAAAATAGAGACCCTCTATTTTGGGGTATTTATTATTTTTTGTTGTTGTTTTTAAAGCCCTCCACCAAAATCCTGCTCTGAAGATTCTGGCTGTCTCTACCAAGCAGAAGATGCTTCAGGTAAGGACTGTGTCTGTCATCTAAGGGGCAGCCTCACGTATACAGAGAGAGAAAAGCATGCATAAATCCTTGGAATAGGATTTTTAAGATTTCCAAGTAAACATAAGACAGTCACAGAAAATTAAAACAGCAAAAGATACGGGGGCTGGCCCTGTGACTATTGGCCAGGAAAATCCCTGTATCAATCAATGCAGATCAACACCTTCTCTGCCACTGCAGAGTCTTAGAGAATTGCCTATATCTCAGAGACTTATGCCATTGGTTATACTATTTAACCATTCTCTATGAATTATTCAAAAAAGCAGTCATGTAAACGTCTCTATAGCTATTGAGCTCATAGGATAATGGGTTTAGGGTTGGAAAGGAACTGAGAGACATCTTATCCCACATAAGTCAATTTACAAAAAAGGAAACTGAGGCAAAAACAGGTTAAAAATAACTCGTCCAGATCATGCAGGTAGAGAGTGGGCAGAGTACGAATTTTAATCCAGGTCATCTGCCTCCAGATATAAGCATAGGGCCTTGAAAGAAATCAGTCAATGGACCCATGAGAAATAAGTTCTGCCTTGTTTAAAAAAATTATGATTTCTCTCAAGGATGTAACTTTGGAGGGAAAACTAACATTTCCATATTCACTTAGCTCACTGAAAGGAGAAAACACCCAAATGATAATGGGAGGATAAAGAAGGGAACAAGTATTTATATAGTGCCTACTATATGCTAAGCACTTTTACAAATTTTTATTTATAAATAAATTTTATTATTTGATCTTCACAACAACACTGGGAGGTTGCTAATATTATCTTCCTTTTACAGAGCTGGATGTTATTATTATACCCATTTTACATATGAGGAAATCGAGGCAGATTGAAGTTAAGTGTCTTGCCCAGGGTCACACAGCTAGTAATGTCTGAGGCTGGATTTGAACTTGAGTCTTCTTGACTCGAGACCCAGTGCTCTATCCCCTGAACCTGAGATTAGAACTGTTTAAAAGATGGAGGGTTAGCACCAGTCAGTATGCACTAGAGAAGAAAGGGCCTAAGAAAGTTTTTTTTTTGACTGGAGAGATTTTTTTTCTTTTTTTGTTTTGTGCTATGGGCATCGTTAAAAAAGGACAATAGGAATTCATCCTTAAATCATTCATCCTTCATCACTGAAAAGGATAAATAGAAATTGGGGTGGGTGGGGAAAAGAGGGTAACTAGGGTGTGAACCACGTCCCCGTCTGAACAGAGCATCAAGACAAATCCTTACGAGTTGGGGAGGGTGTGTCTTCTCCCCTATTTATCTGTTTCCCAAGGGTAAAGAGGGACTCAGCTAGCCCTATAAGACATCCCTATTCCACGATCCGCCCCCCTCCCACCCTTGCTGTGGGCAACCAGAAGCAGGCACCCCTTTGTGCCCTGTCCCCATGGGAAAGGCCAGGTGGGCTGGCTGGCAGGGGCTGTCGCACTACTCACGAGAGGGCAGGAAGTGCCGGGTAGGGAGCACGGGTTTTTTGTCTCCATCGGAGCTGCTGGTGCTGCTCCAGCTACCCCAGCTGCCCCGGCTAGCCCGCACACTCCCTGACGAGCTGCCACAGTCTGAGCTGGAATCTGAACAAAACTTGTCTCCACATTTCTTTTTAGGCCGCTGGTAATGACCTTCTGGAGGAAACAAGACAGAAGAGCATTTCAAAGGTTTCCCCTAAGCTGCTCACTATTGACTCCAATGCACTGAAAATCCAGCTGTATTCATTCAATGGACTCTTCTGTTTTCCATATGAGATTCAGTTGCACCCCTCAGGAAACACTTGGAAAAAAGTCAAATTTACCCTTTAGCTTTGACCCCCCCCCCCTTTTCCCTTTTCTACATCCACCCTTAGAGACCTCCCTCTCTGCCTCCCAGGTACCTTGAAACATCCCTTCTTAAATAGACACAACAGAGCTAGAAGGGGCACTAGAAAGTATCTGATCCAACCCATTACACAGGTGAAGAAACTGAGACTCAAAGAGCTTCTCCAGGTAAGAAGCCATCTGAGGAAATCATCCATACTAAGTTATTAAAGATTTAATATGCTAATAATTATACACCACAACATAAAAATGTAAGATATAAGAACATAATAATTCAGGGAACAGTTCTATAAGAGGCTTTCAATCAGAAGGAAAAGAATGAGTTATTCAATAAGAGAATTTTACATACTAGTTGGGGAGATTTTGAGGTAAGGGAGGCCTTTCAGATTTACTTAAAATCACACCGTATGCGCAACTATGTAGTATGCCTATGTCTAAGGCAGAGTCTCAGCTCACAGAAACTAACCAATTACCTTGTTTCTTCCCCACACTCACAAAATTAAATATTCTTAGTTTTGCCAAAAAGTTAAAGTCACACCAGTGAAAAGCAATATATAAGCTTAACAAGCCAAAGAATTCTGGAAATACTTTCTTTTAAGAAAACCCAGCAAGGTCAGCACCAATAGGATGCATCAGAAGACAGGGAAAAGAGACAGGATTAGCAATGCAGGGTGATTGGGCAGTCATTCCGAATGCCTCGGGCAGAAAAGACAGAATCACATCTCCTACTCCTGTCATTTTTTCCCCTTTCTTTTGAAAAAAATTTCTTATTTATTATTATGGATTTGTCAAACATCAACAAACACAAACATTTTCCTACACAAAGCAAAACAGAAAGGGAAGATTTGAATCTCTATTACATACAGCTGGGGTTTTTTGTTTTTTGTTTTTCCAATGGGCATCATCCAGCTTCTTTGCTTATTTCAGCTCTGACCCAAACATTTCAGAATGGCTCCTTCTTTCCATCTGTTAACATCAACACCCTACTGGCTTTGGGTCCTGATAAGGATCAGCTTGGAGAAAAAGTACAGTGGAAAGTAAAGCTGCCAGGACTAGCCCTGGCCTGTCTTGGGCTTTTGTTCAGCCCGAGATCTGGTACCAGATCCTTTCCACAACCCCTCTGGTCCTATCACCACTGATCCAGTTAGTGGATGACTGAGCCTGGACCAAGAATCCCACTGTTCCATTCCACCCTGTGCACAAAGGTGGAAACACAGGGAAGACAGCTCAGGGTAAAAGGCTAGGTGAGAGATGCCTCTACCTCAAAATTATCCAATTACATTTGTGATTTATGCTGTCTTGGGGTGAACATGGCTCACTCAGAGGCTTAGCCTTTCTGAGCCCAGATACTTCACGAAGGAGGAAAGGAAAGCTTTAACAGATGCCCCTCTCATATCTCAGGATAACAACATACCTGTTTCTCCTGGGGCTGCAGAAGTAATTTTGGGTTCTGTTTTACAAATGTCCATGGTACCACTCTGCATGCACCAGCTCCTCAAAGGAGTGCCACCTCTCAGCTCGGGCCTTTCAAAATCAGTGCACACGTGCTTTGATTCATTCTGTTCAGGAGCCCTACGGCAGCCACAAACATCTCATTAATGTCTTCACCACACATGCACGACTATTACATAAGACAAAATATTATAATAAATTGCACATATAACATATAATATGTGGTATATGATAACATATACTATAATAATCACATAAAATGGCCTGTTTTCTTTATAAATACAAAACATAGCTATAAATGTGACATCCTAACATGTTTATATATCATACATAGGTACATAGAGTATAGAAATATATTACATAAGAAATACATGTGTGATATACATATAAACACATACTTTATATAATATACATATGTATATACATATGCACATACATATATAAAATACATATGCCTATATCCCTGTGTGTGTGTGTGTGTATGTATGTATGTATGTATGGTGTGAGCGCATAAGTATATCTAAACAGGCTAAAATTTGAAATTAGCTAGAAGTTCTTAATTTCTTAATTTGAGATCTGTGATTTTGTTTTTTTAAATATTGTGATAGCTGTATTTCAATATGATTGATTCCCTTTGTAATCCTATGTATTTATTTTATGCATTCAGAAATGTTGATCTGAGGAGGGGGTCCAGGGGTCTATGTTTCACCAAACTAAACAAAAGGTCCATGATATAGAAAAGCTTAAAAAAGTCTTGCATTAGACCTCCTGTTCTTGGAGACACCAGTAAAACATAATGTGAGATAATGAGACAGAGAAGAACTAAAAAGAGATTTGTTCTGATGGTCTGAGAAAGGAAGTAACTTTTTAAACAGAATCATGGAACTTTAGAGTGAGGAGGAACTTTAGAGTGAGGAGAAATTTCAGAGTTCATTGAGTCCAATTCTCTCATTTTATAGAGGAAATAAGATGAAAAGTGACTTGCTTCACAAAGGTCTCAAAACTAGCTTGCACATGACCTAGTTAGCAGACCCAGGCCTACAAGTTAGGTCTAGTGCTCATTCTCCCTATAGTATGTCAAAAGAGAGATTCTTAATGGATGAAACCTAGGTGGCACAGTGGATAGAGTGTTGGGCATGGCGTCAGGAAGACCTGAGTTCAAATCCCACCTCAGACACTTAGGAACTATGTGACCCTGGGCAAGTCACTTAATCTCTGTTTGTCTCAGTTTCCTCATCTGTAAAATGGGAGAAATGTTGGCACCTACTTCTCAGGGTTGTTGTGAGGATTAAATGAGATAATTGTGAAGCGCTTAGCACAATGCCTGCCACATAGTCAGCAGTATATAAGTGTTAGCTGCTGTTACTGTTGTTGTTATCCTTTCTTATTTTAGAGTTTTTTGCTGTCCATTGTAGCTGATGTTTCATGACCCCATTTTTGTGGTTTTCTCATCTAAGATTCTGGAGTAGTTCGTTATTTCCTCCTTCAGGTCATTTGACAGACGAGGAACTAAAACAAATAGGGTTAAGTGACTTGCCCAGGGCCTGGCACTCTATCTACTACACCACCTAGCTGCCCTGTTTTAGGTTAGGGACTTGGTATTGAGCTGAACATAGGAAAATGTACAATTTTAGCATCTAAAGTAATTTAGAATTAAGAGGAAAGTAATTAAGAAAACATATGTAAAAGATGGCATGGAGAGAAAAATGGAGAGGAGGGAGGAGGAGGGATGAGAGGGAAAGAAAGAGAGAGATAGAGAGAGAGAAGGAGAGGGAGAGAGAGGGAGAGAGGGAGGGAGGGAGGGAGGGGGAAGGGGAGGGGGAGAGGGGGAGAGAGTGCATTCCCAATGCTAAAAGCCAGAACACTTGGAGGGTTTGGAAATTCTATCAAGCTGGATGAACTTTGGTTGAGTCACCACTCGGAAAAAGGAATCTCACTCTTGTTCACTACAGAGTTCTTGTGAAGATCAGGGTGTAGAAATGCTTTGCAAACTCTAAAGCATTACACAAGTGTAAAATATTATTATTAAACAGAGGTAGAAGAAATAAATGAAATATGGAATACTTTTCATTTACTTTTTTTCTTCACCTGACTTTTTCTCTGTTCACCATAACCTCCCCCTCCCCCCCCAAAAAAGCCAGAAGAAAAACAGGCCAATTTCTTAGATATAACCTACTTCAATGTTTCAAGGCTCTGTGATATGGACAATTCTTCCACAGAAACAGATTGCCACCCATCAAGACCTTAGTTGATACTGACAGTTGAATGAATTGCTGTGGCCAAAAATCTTTCAGGCTTGTTCCAACTTAACTAAATCTGGTCTTTGGGAGGACACATGTAAATGAACCCAAAACCTGAAGCCTTTATGTGTAAGAGTTTGGGCTCCACAGGAGTAGCCTTTGAGAAAACAGGGTCCCCTACAGATGCCCAGATCCCCAGCAGCGGCCAGACACTACATCCTCCTGACATTCTCAATGTGACACATGGCCTTAAAGTTCACATAATACATAACCACAAACCAAAACGGAGTCATTTCATCTCCCATATCTCAGGCGTGCCAGACTTCTGCTTTTAAAGTTAATCATGTAGCCATAATATGTAATTGGTAAAACTACATTTTAATTCCTCTTTAAAATACTTACTTCTTCCTCTATGCTTATGTTGGAAAGTAAGTTTTTTTTTTTTTTAAGGGTACCTTAGGGTTGACTCTTATGAAATATTAAGTGGGTAAGTGGAGAGATTTGGGGGTGGGGAGGGAGAAGGAACCAAACCAGCTTCTCCTCTCTGACTCAGTTTTCAGAGAGCTGCCTACAGCACGGAGTGACTTGTCCAGGGTCACAGAGCCAGGATGAGGAACTTACACCCAGGGCTTTCTGTCACCAAGGACACTACCTCTGCCCCTCCCGCTGCTATGACATACTGAAACAAGAAAATGCAAAGTTTTCATTTTTCTTATGGCAGACAAATTAGTCAATGGCTATTCAAATCACACTGGAGATGAGAGTAATTATTTAAATTCTACATCAGGCAAATTGCCTGAGTGTAAGGGAAAATTTTGCACAAAACAGGATACCTATGTTTTAAAGCTAAAGTGTCTGCCTTTTCTAGTCATTTTTTCCTAAAGAACAAATAGGAGGCAAAACTTAAATTTTTTTGTTGCTAGTTATGGATGTGGGATTTTTTAAAAAAGATTATACGTGTGTGTGTGTGTGTGTGTTTTGTTTAAAAAAAACATCAAACTTGGTGAAAAGTAAAATTTCAACCCCTGGTATTTTTTTCTGTAAACCTTAAAAAAACTCCATAAAAAAATGAGCACCTATAATAGAGGACATTGACAATCCTGAGTATATATCTCACCTATCTCAAAACTGTATTTTCAAGTATCCTACAAACTTTGGGGGAGGGGAAAGAGGAAAAAAAAGGAGGGGTCAGAAAGAAAATGAAGACATGACAGTTTAGTGTTTGGTTTGGTATTTTTGTTGTTTTTTTTTTTAAGGGGGGGTGGAGTTACACACACACACACACCTTGTAGATGCAGTAACACTTTTTTTCTTGTTTTTTCTAGACGTTCTGGTTTTATTCCAATTTAGATTTGGGAGATTTCCATCCTTCTTTTCCTGCTGTCTCTTCTTCCTATCTTCTTGCTGCTAAGTAAAGACAACAGTCAGTGATGCGGGGCAACAAAGACCAATGAACTCAAACAAACTCTTCAGTGGCTAAATTTGACATAGCAGTCGCCTGCCTCCGGATCCACCTCTATCCACTTTTCAAGCCCTCAATCCACCCTGATCCCCAGAATTCAGGCCTTTTTCAACCACTGGAAACTTGGGCATAACTTTCTCCATCTCTGGTGTGTTTGCATTCCTCCTCTCTCCCCACCTCCCTCAATCCCCTGAGAGAGAAGAAAACCTGGTCTATAAAAATTCTTAATGGGCTAAAAATGAGAAACATCTGCCAGATTTATGGTCAAGGTGCTGTTAAATTCTACCACAATAAATCCTCCTCCCCTCACCTGTTGGCTGGGTTCCTGCAATTCACGTGAATTACTACCGAAGCACCACCAGCAATCACTTCAATAGAACCCAGGGGGAATTTGCTTTTTTAATTTGGGGGGGGGGGGGACCCTAAGTACAAAAATCAAGCCTCTTTTGTTAGATGGTAGAAACTACTACGTTCCAAACCAACCGGTGTTTTTAGCTAGAGGGTCATTTCAGACATTTCTGTTATATCATATTTCCTCTGCTATTTTTTTCCTTTTCCCCTGGAGAGATTTCTGCATTTAGCCTTCAAACACGCTAGCTGTTCACTGTACATACATCACATTCTATCTCTCCTGTCACTCTGCACCCATGGTCTCCCTCCCTCACCTATAGCATCCTTTCAGAGCATAGCCCACGTGGCACCTTCTCAACATGGCCTTATCTGATCCCCAAAGGTGGCAGGGATCTCCTTGAGGTCTTTAAAGACATGATTTTTTAAAAAATCAATTCAACAAACTTTTCTAATTGTGGGGAAGAAATAAAATTTAAATAAAACACATGGTTCCTCCTCTCCTCAAGTAGGTGTAGTCAGATAAAGCACATATTCTGCTACCTGTAACATCTCATACTACATATTGATAAAAAAAAGTACGTACTAAGTGCATATTATATACAACACACTGGTCTGAGCACTAGAGACACAAAGACAAAATACAAAACCGTCCCTATTCTAGAGGAGCCTACATTCATTCTTCTGGGGGATGTAGCACATATGGACACAAGCACATGCACAATAATTTCAAGAGAGAATGCTATCAACTTTGGGGATCAGGTAAGGCCATGCTGAGAAGGTGGCATGTGGGCTATGCTCTGAAAGGATGCTATAGCTGAGGGAGGGAGAGCCACAGGGGAGATAGAATGTGGCGTATGTACAGTAAACAGCTAACATGTTTGAAGGCTAAATGAAGAAACCTCTCTAGGGGAAAAAAAATAGCAGAGGGAATATGATATAGTAGAAACATCTGAAAGATAATGGACCAGGGTTCAAGACTAGCTCTTGAACTTATTAGCTGTGGGCTGTGTAAAATGAGCTGGAGAAGGAAACGGCAAAACACTCCAGTATTTCTTCCAAGAAAACCCCAAATGGGGTCCCGAAGAGTCGGACACAACTGAAAAACAACTGTGTTCTAGATAACCTTTCTAGCTCTCATTTTCTCCTGTGCTTCTGCAGCTCTAAATTAGAATGTCTGCGCCCCGACTGCCTCCCATTCTCCCATCACCCTTGCTTTTCAGTCCTTTCTGGGAGGAATGGGGCTTATGTATCCAGGACCAAAAGCCACAGTCCCAGGCTCCCATGTTCTTTTCCCCCCTCTGTTCCTCCTGCAGCTCATGCCTGGCTACAATCATTCATTCCAAACTCAGAATCGGTGATCAGCAGAGGAAAAGGAAGATCAATGCCACTGGCATGGTCAACTGCTGCCCCCTGCAGCTCACTTAAGGAAAAGGGAAGAGTGGCCATGCCCTCACCATCATGGCACTGTCTCATCATTAGCATCAGGTCAGATGTAAAAGAAGGTATCCTTATCGATCATACAGCCTTCTCGATGATATAAAAGTTGGGAAGGATGGCCAGGAGAGTAGCTGGCATACATGAGATTCCAAAAGATCTTTACAGGCTTAAATCTAGTGAAATGGAATGGGAGGCAGTCTAGTACAGAGTACAGAAGAAAAAAAGAGTGGCTCTGGGTGTCAGAGGTCTTGGGTTCAAATCTCACCTCTTATGCTTATCCCCTGGGTGACCTTGGGCAAATCATTTAAATGACTTAGTCCTGACTGTCACCATTTGTAAAATGAGGGGGTTGAATTACATGGCCTCTAAGGTCCCTTCTTCTACTTTTAGATCAAGAATAGCCATCAAAGGGTTCAAAATAAGAGTGATACAAGTACAGGGTAGGGAAGATGTGAAGGACAATAGTTCATGTGAAAAAAAAGTGAGGATTTTAGTGGATCACAAGCTCAATCTGAAAGGGAAATAAAAAATACTCATGTAACCTCTGGCTGCAATAAGGGAAGCATAGTATACAGAATGAGGATTAGGGTTAGTTCCATTACCCTCTTCCCAGGTCAGGCCCCATCTGGATTACTGCATTCAGTTCTGGGTTCCAAATTCTAGGGAAGGACTCAGAAAAGACAGAGAATGGCCAAAGAATGATGGCCAGAATGGTCAGAGGACCCAAAACTATGCCTTTTGAGAATCTAGTAAGGAACTCTTCCAGCTTTAAATCAATGATCCTATAATCAGCCAGGGGAAAGGGAGACTAAAAAGGGGAAATGATACCTGTCTTCATGTACCTAATGGATACCATGCAGGAAACTGACTGGATCCATTCTGCTTGGTCCCAGGGGGCAGAGCTAAACTTCAGAAGTTAGAATTTTAAAAATTTGGCTGATTTTGGTTTAATATAAAGAAGTATTTTCGAATCATTAGAAAAGTGAAATGGGTTTGCTTTTTAGGATGAATTCCAGTTTCTCATTGATGGAAGTCTTTTTTTTTTCTTTTCTTTTTCTAGAATTTTTATTCTTAACTTAAGAAATAAAACAAGCATTTTCATAACAAAGTAGAATAGAAAAAAAAGAGGATTGCACATGAAACAGCAAATCTATTATGTACAACTTGCTTTTCCTTTTAAATATATAATAAAGTTATCATGTAACTTTTTTTTCCCTTCCCCCAGGCCCTAGAGAGGGCTACCATTAGTCCACACCACACTATATGGTGTATGTAAACATATATATGCGTATACATACACACATATACATATGTAGATCTAAACCATGCATACTTCTATTTATCAGCTCTTCCTCTGGATGAAGATAACATCTTCCTTCACTGCTCTTTTGCAGTTAATTTGGGTATTTATAATAGTCAAAGTGACTTGGTCACTGAAAGCTGGTCTTAAAAACAACACTGCTGTTACTGTATACAACGTTCTCTTGGTTCTGCTCACTTCGCTTTTCATTATTTCGATGGAAGTCTTAAAGCAGAGTAAGGATGACTAGTTGGGGATCTCAAAAGGGCTTCCTGCTCAGCTATGGGCTGGAATAACTGTCTTTGAGGTCTCTGCCAATACTGAGATTCTATGGTATGCAACCTCGTAATTCTTCTTGAATCCGCAGTTAATTCCATGACAATTTCCCAGTGGTCTTTCTGTCCCAAAGAACGGTATCTCTTATTTTTGGTCTTCTTCTTCCCATCACCTGCCAATTGTTTCAATTCCCTAAGACTCTGCTCTGTCCTTTGCTGTCTTACCATTCACTACACTTCAGGTAATTCACCTGTTTTAATGACTTCAATTGTCACCAATAAGAAAACGATTCCTAAATCTAGAGCTTTAACCTTCCACCTAAGCTAGAGTTGTGTCTTCAACCGCCTACTGAACAATTTGAATCTGAATCTCTTTCCTTTACCCCAAAATCCATCATCACTACCTGTGTGACCTTAGGCAAGTGATTAAGTCACTATCTTCTCTGGGCCTTAGGGTCTTCCTCTGACAAGAAAAAGGTGTGTGTGATGAAAGACCACTCCAGTCCATCTGCTCCACAAATCATCATGCTCTCCTGGTTTTCCAACTTCTCTTCACGCTCCCATCGTTCTGCCAAACACACACAAGCTCAAGACTTGGGAGCTATCTGTACAGATGGACGCAAAGAATTTTTTTTTTGAATGATGCTTGCTTTTCGTCACTTCCGCAGCCAACTAATCACAGCAAGTCCTGTGATTTTTTTCTCAAAAACCTTTCTCAGATCTGTCCTTTCCTTACTTGTCTCCCCTGCCACAACTCTCATCAAGGCTCTCATCATTTTACTCCTACAACATTATAATAACCTCCCAGTATCCCTGTATTATCTCTTCCTTCTTCCAATCCATCCTGAACATCTTCCTAAAATACTGCAGGTGCCTTCCCTCTGTTTATTTCCAATTTATCTTGTATATATCCTGCTGGTATATGGAGGTGTGCATGTTGTCTCCCCCATTAGACTTCAAGTTCCCTCAAAGTAAGGACTATTTTTGCCCTTTTCTGTATCCCTAGCATACCCCCAGCACACAGTTAAGTGCCTAATAAATGTTTTTGGACTGACTTTCAGAACTGCTCAAAAACCTTTACTGACCCCATGAGAAACAAAAGTCTAAACTCCTTTGTCTGGCAATCAAGGCCCTCTACCATCTGGTGCCATCTTACTTTCCCCAATCTTATCTTTTACTACTCTTCAGCATGAATTCTCTACTCAGGCTTGTTCCTTCATCATCCTCTAACAAGTTATTTAATGTCTCCATGCCATATTAATAATTTCACCATCATCAACACAATTGCTCCCATTTTCCTAGTTAGTTCCAAATGTTGACAAAGTTATTTCCTCACAATAAGCCTGTAAGGCAGATAGAGCCATAGGTCATCATCCCCTCTCACCCCTATTTTACAGATGTGGAAGCTCTGGCCCAGTGAAACTAAGTGACTTTACTCACTGTCACACTCACTGTCAGGATTCAAACCCAGGTCTGCTGACCCCTTCCTTTCTTTCTGAATCTCTAAATTCCAGCTACCCTAGCTCTCAAGTGCTATTGCCTCCAACAATTGACCTGCACTCATTCCAACACACACTGATTTTTCCCTCTATAAACTTTCCCACGGATTAATGTCTGTATGTCCCAATCAGGCTGGCACCTGATCAGACACTAGCTTATATGATTCACTTAAACATCTCACATAAGCATGTATTGTTTCCCCAACCATCCAGCAAGTTCCAAGAGGGCAAGGTCCTTGTCTCCCACGGAGGGTGCACAATATGACACGTACTTGCCAAAGGAAGAAAATGCAACATTTTTATTGTGAATTTAAGCAGCCCAATTAAGATAACAGGAAAGCAACTTTTGAAAAGCTCTCTACAAGTCCTGAAAGCTAATGCACAAATGTGTACATTGCTTTTTTTTTTTTTTTTTTTTTTTTTTTTTTTTTTTTTTTTTTTTT